CATTACCAGTAATTCTTCTGCTATCTCCACCACTATGAGATTTGAACTGACAGTGACGTCTCTGTACTAGTGCAATATGGCAACCTGAACTTATGCACATACGTACGAAGTTCTACGTTGTAACCGACTGACTTATACGACAAACAGTTTGTAGGAGTTCATTTAACAAAAGTCATGATACTGTTGAACTTATTAATCAGTCACTGTTTAAGTTTTTATATGCTGGTAAAAGGATTCCACTGAATCCTTTATAATTCAACTCATCTTTTTTCATGCCTATATATATATATATATGCATTGTAACGCGTAAAATGAGTAAAGAAATTTGTTCAAATCGTTGTCTATTAAGACTTCTATTTTATACTAGATGTATAATAACTGAATAAATCGATTATCTTTATTTTTACTACCTAACTAAACTGTTCCACAAAATTCTTTCTTTTTTCTTTCACATAAACTTATTAGTTTTATTTCTAACTTTTAAATAAACTCTGTTAAGATAATTATTTCAAATTTATGATTAATTTTTATTATTATTATTATTATATTATAAACAAAATAATAGTCACATACAATTAGACGCAATAAATTGAAAATGATAAATACTCGTTTATTTTCTAACGGGAAGTAAAAGAAATGGCAATTTAAATGTTTTGACATTTTCAAGCAAAACTACAGTTGATAATATTTCAAAAAATATCATCGATATGAAATCAATAAACCGGTGAAAACGTTCCTCAGGGATACGTATATATTTATTTAAACTGCTAATAATGATTTTGTTTTCCATTTTTGTGTCAATTAAACAAAAGTTTCAAATGAGATTTATTTTAATAAAAAACCATAATAAACTATTGAACTTGAAATATTTACTTTACTATTGTTTGTTTATAATAATTAAATAAGGTTATTTAAATTGATAAAATTTAGAAACTACATGACGAGATTGGATGGTCTATACGGAATAGAACAAATATACTGGAGAAATTATAGAAATTAAAATCTCAGTTGGATTTCATTTCTTATTGACTAATGGCCTGTTACTTTCCACTCACCTACTATTTGTATCAATCATCTAGTAAAAATACAGCCGAGTAAACAATGCCGTAGTCAGAAATCGAGTACTAGGTAGGGATAGTAGATCAATTGATGAAGTAGTGAAACTTCATCAATTGAGGTGGTTGGGACATGTGTTAAGAAGGCCCAGCCACCGACTGCAATGTTTTGCTATGTAGGAGTAGGTTGGAAGAAAGCCAGGAGTGGCCGCACCAATACATGACACAAATACATGAAATCACTGACAAGTGGACTGAGTCATGTTGGTAGATGTAGGCTACCTGGTTGGCGTCCGCGAGACGAAATAATCGTTGGTTAGAGACCTTGAAGGAAATGGTTTAGAATCGTTTACAATGGCTCAGGTGCATCCACTTTTTGTGTTCGCTCTAATTCTAAACTTCTGAATTCCTTGTTATCTCTATCTTTCTCTTTCTAAAGTTATGTCACTGAATTATACTTCTCGAATCATATCTTTGCTCCCTAGTCTTCTCCATTACTGCTAATACTTCTACTATCACTATCACTCTTGGATTTGAATTGACAGTTGCGTCTCTGTACTGACGTGGTATGGCAACCTAAACTCATGTTCGTACGTACGAAGTTCTGTGTTGTATCTGTCTGCCTGTCTAGTAATAATATAACAATATTACACTAATAGACCAACGAAGAGATAACGTATTTGAATTATCAATTAGATTTATGGAGATCATTGTTTTTATACACTGAAATCATGAATCAACGTAATTGTTCGAAAAACGAAATTAGATATTTTCTGAATTACACAATATGCTTACTTAGAGATCTAGAGTTTAGGTGCCCATGCACGAGACTGAATGTCCTAATTCTCTAAAATCAAATATCAATAAAATGTTGAAAATGTCAATGAGAGAGTTTACTGGGTAAAAGATCTTCCTGATATCGTGAAGGAATAATTTTTTGGACTATTTTAAGATGATCGTTAATGCAAGAAAACAAACATTCTAAGATAAGGAAAAATTCAAACATACAAATACCTTAAACGAATATTCCATTAAACCCTGATCATTTTGTACTTAATTTTTCATGTTTTAGTCTCAAATAAGACGGAACTATAAGAGTTTTCCATAGGTCTAAAATTTCGTTATCAAAGTGGTTCATAAATTGTACCTTGGAAATCAGTTAAAAAGAAAACCCTTACACCTAAACGACACAGCAAGTAAATTCATCGGAAGATGAAATGGAAAGAAATCGACTGTTGTTATAAGATATATTTAAATCGTGAATATAATTTTACAATATTTTCAATTAGAGTTATGGAGATTAGTGCTGTTACACATGTGAAATCATCAATCAATCGTTCTTAGACCCCCATTAGAAACCTAGAAGCACTGGATTGCCGTTTCGTCCTGATATGGGACTCATCAGCAGTGCGCATCCACGGCAAATAGGTTAGGTCGAGCAAAATCCCTAGATTAATAAGAGTTAGACATTAACACCGTTGAGTGCCTGCCCGGTGGTTCAGAGGTTAGGCGTTCGCGTACAAGACCGGACGTCCCGGGTTGAAATCCTGTGAGGTGTAGGAGTCGTGGATGCGTACTGCTGATGAGTCCTATACCAGGACGAAACGGCAGTCCAGTGCTTCTACGTTTTTAATGGTGGTCTAACAATGATTGGCTGATGATTTCAAACATAATTCTTAAAAAAGACTGGTTAAAAAACACATGGACGCTTCAGGGAAACTTTGAACTGATAACAATTTGTTAATCACCAAAAAACCAGACAAAGGAATTTTCATAATAATAATCAACAAAACAATTTACAAATAAACAATACGATTAGAAATTCATGATATGTTGTTGACACTTTGTTCTGGCATCATCAAGATTCTAGTTAATTATTATTTCAGTGATTTACTAGCTATGATGCTTGACTTTCAACTCCTGTGTCACATAATTCAAGTTCGATTTAGCCAAATGGGCATAATTACTATTTGTTGGCACAAAGTTTAACTATATAAGTCAATTAGACGAGAATCTACACACAGTGAGTGTTGCATAATCTGTTGTTTTAATCTGTACATTTATGTCAATAGCACTGCATTTTAATAAGTATTGAAGTAATTCTGATTATAAGAAATGTATAGTAGCATAATAGCCGAAGCATTTTGCTGATGAAAACAATTACTATATTTGTAATCAGTCATTTTTAAGTTTCCCTATAAGAAAATAACCTGTTCATCGATTATTTTTTATTGACCACTCATTCTGATAATTGTGAACATGATTCGATTATGAATACTTTTCATTAGTCAATTCAATAATGTCTTACTCATCTAAGCAAATATTACTCATTCCATAAAAGTTACCATTTTGAGAAACAAAACAATTTATCTTTGAAAATCCTTGTTTAACGTAAATCCGTTTTTAACCATAGAAAAACTTTTAGGAGTAAACAAAATGCAAAAGATCAACTATACAAAATACTAATTTATTTAATGCTGAGGAGATTAGAAAAAGATTTAAACGTGTTAATAGAGAAAATCATGAAAAACAGTTATTTAGGAAAAAGATCAACTTTACAATGATTAATGTCATTGTTAGTGTGAGGTTGTGGAAATTTGAATTTCATAAAAATAATAAACCTACTTAAGTAATATAACCAATAAAAACTTGGAAGCACTGGATGGCTGTGTCATCTCATTACGTAATTAATAGACAGTGAATACCCATGACATCACAAGTGAGAATATAACTCAGGACCTTCTGTCTTGTACTTGAACCCTTGATCTCTAAACCACTGATCTGGGATGCATTAGCGTACAGTTCCAACCTCCAATGATAAACCATGATCAGTCGAGCTAAACTGCCTCGGACTTGTTGATGACAATGAACAGTGATTGAGAAATATCATGAATTAGTTGGAGTTAGACTTGTACATCGATGAATCTCGGCTCCGTAATTTAGAGATCAACCGTTTGCACACACTACTGAAGGTTCTGGATCTGATCTTCACTCACCAAGTCGTAAACAACGACTGTTGCAGAGTGCTACAGTAAGAAGAAATGTTTATCCAGTGTTTTCAGGTTTTCGATGGTTTTATAACTTGAATTGTGACTACAATGGTTTTTCAAAGCCGATTTTCGAATTCCTATCACATTACATTTTCTCGTGGTTGATTAGATTTCCTCATCTCAGTTTACCATTGTATGGAAAAAAGCATAATAATGATCGAAAAACTGTCGATCTATCACATATCAGTTAGTCAATAGTAACTTTCAAATCAACTAAAACTACTTAACTTCAAGTGACCGATGAACAGTATTTTCAGGACTGGCAGTTTCGATCGATAAATCAAAAAGAAACGTTGAGCGATAAAATATTTAAATAAATTCACCCTCAATAAATTATTTTTATAACTTAGAATTTTGTTGAAACTCGTGTGTCAAATATCAATAAATTAGTTGAATCGGCATTTTCAGTTTTAAATTGTCTCACTTCTGTACGAATATTTCAAACTAATTAGTGAACAGGCCTCTCAATTCCAGTTACTGGTAATAATATACATTTAAATCTTTAGAAATTTCAATAGTATTGACTTTAGAGTATTAAAATTTACTGAACAAGAATTAATTTTACCCTAAACACTAGCTAGCACGATAAAACAATGTTGAATGGAATGGGAATTAATCGAAACTAAACTGAGATCGGTTAAAAAATGTACGGACTTAGTCTATGGAAGAACCGAATTTACGAATGAATCTTCCTAATACCTACTGATTCCTTGCGACAGTTATGAATATTATTCAAAGACCTTCAGTAATATGGCTTAAAATCAGTCTGTATAGCACACTAAACTCATCCTCTGTTTGTCACCTCCATGGTGAGTTTCCGTCATTGAACATTAATATTACTTTGACTCCTTTTCTGTTTATCAGACTGCAAGTGAAAATCAATGAATAAACTTACTTCATCAATATTTGTTTCTTCTATAGTATGATTTAAACGCGTGTTATGCATAATACTCTGTTGATTAGAACTGTTTAATTTCTCCAAACTACTTGAAGAAGTTGCTTCATTGACAGAATTCATTACATTAGTATGCTTTGTTGATGGTGAAGATTGATTAATATCCATTGATTGTTGACCAATGTATATGTATTTATGTCCAACTGACAAGCTTAATGTAACTTGCTCGTTATTATCCATAGGATATATACCTTCAATACGACTGACAGCAATACGTGTATTATCTGGTAAAATAAATTCACTGGCATATTTTCGTGTAATACGTCGGCTTAGAAATGCAAGAGAAGAAGTAATATCTGAGGTAGCTTCTTTGAAATTTAACTGTTGAAGTCTTTCAGCATCATCACATTGTGTAACTGATGAAGTGTCAAATGTATTATCATCAGATGATGCATTTTCATTTCTAATACCGTCGTTCTCATCGTCGTCGTCATCATCACTGTCATTGTTATCTTCATTATCATCTTCACTAATTATTGCATCTTGTAGTATGTCGGAATAAATGTTTTTCGCAGATGACTTGAAGTGATTTCTGTCTTGATTCATGAGGTTATTCATTTCATGTTATTAAAAGTACACATGTTTATCATGTTTAAGAGATATATTTTGCGAAAATGTACTTTAAGAATAAAATTGTACTATAATAGTAATCCATATCAACTTGTATTTATACAGAGACAGAATCTATAAATTATATTATCCTGTCAAGATAATCAGAAAAATTCAAATTAGTTAATCTTCGTTATGCCATGTCTTAATAGGTCAATAAAGTCCTTGATTGTAATTGGTTGGTTGAGCTGACCAATAAAATTTTAAACTAGAAACTTCCCTACGTTTATTTCGTCATGAGTTAAAATGACTGAATGTATTTTACTTCAGTATTTCAGCTAATAAAGATTCAATTCGAGAGTACTCATTAGTGAATTAGTGTTTACTTGTTAAAAGATCGATTTTGCAGTATATTTATAAATTGAAAAAAGAAACTATTTCACTCTGAAACAACCAGGATAGAAGTTAGTTATTTAAATAGTTTAACTCTAGGTAATCGGATATGCATGACATTTTTCCTGTTCGGGAGAAAATTTATTCAGAAGCTAACGAACAACCACCACCACCACCATACGTCGTATTTTGTTTAGAAGATTTAAAATAGTAGTAATTTCATGTTAATGTGTTTTGTGATTATATCATGCTTAGCCCCTTGATACAAAGCATTTCGCAATAACGGCTCCTCAAAATCTTAGATTTTTCACAGATTAACCCCAGCCATGGTACCACTGAAAACCGCTGAGAAACAGACAGCTGTGAGCACCCCAGATACCACCAGACATCAGATCAATGGCCTTCAGGCCTCACGCCAAACGATCAGCGTTTGATAATACAATTCCTAAACTAATCATCATGAAGCCTGTTCAAGTAAAAAAATCTGACACTGAACACTTCCCAGTGACCGATTTATTTGACTCTATAACATCTCTCTAATTGTATATACCAAATACATGTCATTGGTAATTTATAATTAGTATCGGTTACCATCGAAATGATGAAACCTGTCGGTGAAAATAATCTTTTTAAAAGTCAGACTGGTAACTATTACCACTGGTAATACTTTCTCTTCAACTTAGAATGAAATGTAATTGTTTCGACCAGAACACGAAATTCTACGTTATCTTTTAAAGCATTTTATGACTGTGACGTAGACACAGGAAGCTGCCTCCACAAATTTTACGGATTTAATGCAGGCAATCACTTCAACTTGTCAGAAGGTTCTGAGTCACAAGAAGTACCATCATCGCGAATGGGTTTCTGTTGATACCCTTAAAAAAATTCAAGAAATGAGTAACAAGAAGGCAGCAGTCAATATCAGCCAAACAAGAGCAGAGAAAGCCAATGCACAAGCTGAGTACACAGAAGCGAATAAGCAGGTAAAGAAGAGCATCAGAGCAAACAAACTTAAATATGTGGAAGAGACAGCAGTGACGGAGAAGGAGGCTGCAAGAGAAGGAAACATGAGACGATTAAACGATACAACAAAGAAGTTGGCTGGAAACTATCGTAGATCAGAACGACCAATGAAAAGCAAGGAAGGCAAAGTGGTCAGCAACATTGAAGAGCAGCGAAACGGGTGGATAGAACGCTTTGAGGAACTTTTCAGTCGAACAGCCCCAACGAACCCACCCAACAACTAAGCAGCATCCATGGACCTCTCGATCATTGTAGGCCCACCAATAATTGAAGAGATCACTATGGCCATCAGACAAATCAGGAGCGGCAAAGCAGCAGGACCAGACAACATTCCAGCAGAGACAACGAAAGCAGACGTGGTAGCAACTGCAAAAATATTCCACACTCTCTTCAAAAATATTGGGGGTGAAGAAGGAGTAATAACAGACTGGAAACAAGAATACATGATCAAAATACCAAAGAAAGGCGATATGAGCAAATGTGAGAACTATAGAGGCATCACTCTTCTCTCAACATCATTCGGAATTCTTATGATGGATTCAACTGCAAAATCGTGCACGGAGGTCGTCTGAAAAACTTGTTGGAGGTGAAGACCGGTGTCAGATAAGATTGCTTACCCTCATCTTTTCTCTTTCTCCCAGTGATCGACTGGATTATGAAGACATCAACATCTGGAGCGAAGCACGGGATACAATGGACACCTAGGACGCAGCTGGACGATTTGGACTTAGCAGATGATCTGTCTCTTCTATCGTACAAGCAATAACAAATGCAAGAGAAGACGATCGGTGTAGCAGCAGCCTCAGCAGCAGCATGTCTTAAGACGCATAAAAGGAATATTTTCCGATACAACGCAATATGAGCCGACCAAATCACTCTGGATGGATAAACCTTGGAAGACGTTACAACCTTTACATATTTGGGCAGCATCATCGACAATCAGGGTGTACCGGGTGCCGATGTAAAGGCACGGATCGGCAAAACAAGGGCTGCATTTCTTCAACTAAACAACATCTAGAACTCAAAAAAACTGCCAACAAGCACCAATATCAGAATTTTCAATACAAACGTCAAAACCGTTCTATCGTTTGATGCGGAAACTTGGAGAACTAAGCCATCATCCAGAAGATTCATGCATTCACTAACAGTTTTCTACGCAAAATAATTCAGATTCGTTGGCCAGACAGCACCGGCGACAATCTACTGTGGGAAAGAACAAACCATATTCCAGCGGTGGGGGAGTTCAGGAAGAAGCGGTAGAAGTGAATAGGACCCATGCTTCAGAAAGTACCTAACTGCGTCACAAGACAAACCCTCTCTTGAAACCCTCAAGATAAAAAGAAAAGAGGGAGTTTAAGAAACAGATTATGCCGAGAAATAGAGAACGACATGAGGAAAATGAACAAAAATTGGAAAGAACTGGAAAGGGAAGCCCAGGACAGAGTAGGTTGGAGAAAAAATGGTCAGCAGCCTATGCTTAATGGTGGGTCACAGGCGTTAGTATCTAAGTAAGTAAGTTTTTATCACCACTGTAATTTATAAGAAGGTTAACTTAAATGTAATTTACGTAGTCGAACGGAAGACTTGTGTTCATAGCATGTCCATTCGTTCGTCCAAATCAAAATCAGATGTCAAACGACAAAAGTAGGACGTAAATGAAAGATAAACGAACTACAGCCGAAAAGCCAAAGATCAGTGTTAATCACACAAATCTCAGGACTATCGCCAAATTCTTGATTGCTTAGGTAATTGAAAGCACTTATTATTGCACAAATGATTTGTGGCCAACGCTGAAATCTACGATACACGTCTCATCCTATTTAGGACTCGTCAGCTTCATCTCGTTGTTATCCAGTAAGCAAGTAGTTATTAGATAATATAATAGGCGCGTTTGAATAGAATAAGCAGCAAACCAGAAACCTTCATAATGATCATTTATCAATTAATATTTATTTTTACATTTATTTACCGTAGTCATAGGCCACCTGCAATTATGAAATGGAAATTTTTTTTCAAAATACTAATTTTATTCTAAAATTAATTCAGTTTTTTTAGGTTTTATTCAGTGAGTTAGAATTATCAAGGGAACAAAAGCATTATTGACCATGTAGTAATAATAATTATTATTATTATCAGAACAAGAATTCAATTCAGTGAAAAAGAAGGACAATAGTTCAATAAAAGCTTTGATAAATTATGTGACCTACATCAGGGAGCTAGTTAATCTCTACTACTATAATTAAATTCATCATTTTTACCAGTGAAATACAAATTGTTATCTAGTTTTTTTTACAAATGAATTATTAAGTTAGATGACTGATAATCAGTTTTAGCGATTTCATAAGTATAGAGAGCTTATGAAGATAGTTGAAATATTTCATTTGTACCATGAATTAATCATAGGTGGATAAACATTGAAAAAGGAAACACTAGATATCTGTTTTGTTTTATTATGAGCCACTCCAACAGTGCACATTACCAATTCTACCTGCAATCAAGTCAGAGAATTAAGGTAGTGATTACCCTAAGACCCAAATGTTTCGTTTTGATAACAATAATTACTTTTCTGCAGCTTATGAATGAACTTAGGTGACTGACATATTTTTAAAAAATACCTACATGTAATCTAAAATCCCACCTACGTGGTAGTAGTAGCAGTAGTAACAGTAGTATTAGTAATAATGGTAATAATAGAGTAGGCATCTGTAAAGTTGGTCGCTAACAATTTTTCCGTTGTCCAGTAGATAACTGGAGTAATAATTATGGACAGATAATTATTGCTGTTGGACTGATTTCCTGATTTGTAGTATGGTTTGAGGTTAGAGGTTTTCTAACAATCGGCGTAAGCACTAGTCTCTAGAGAGTGAGACAAAGAGAGAGAGTATGTAGATTCAGAATAAGTGGTGGTATATGAGATCCAGCAAATTAGAAGAGAATGGATAGGATCAAATCTACTCCATGACTGTTTGACACCTTAAGGGAATTAATAGCTCTACTTATCGCAAGATAAGTGAACGAAATAGAATTTATTGAGTTGCCAGCCACTTAGACGACTTTCTAATTAGTGCTGGTTAATAACGAATGTTCGCAAAAATACTACTGAAAGAGTCTGCATTGGTTTTAGATTCGTCTATAGATATGTCAGTATGCAACATATATGGATATCTGCACTCTGAGATGCTCCATCGGAATATTAAGTTTTGAACTTTCTAGTTTCTACTAAATGCTACCAACTCCTCGTTGATCACTTGTAGTCTACGCCTTTCTTTAATGAGGTTAAAAATTAAGGTTATTTGAACAGCTGATGTAAAATCATTTGAGTTACAGCAACGTCTCTTCAGGCATCTTCATTTATTACGATAGTGAATTGGTATACATGATTAGTTATGCTTATTAGTCTGACATGCCTCAAGAGGTACACAGGAATCTAAACGTGACTGGATGATCTGATAGAATGTATCAATGGCATCTTCGAGACTGTTCCTTGAGAATAATAAATCCCAGTCATAGGAGCTTGCTAGGGTTTGCATGAGTTCTCAGTGGGCATGTTTGAAATCTCTAGTTTTCTGTGTGTGGTGGCC